TGATAATATTAGAATATACTCGCGCGGTGCGCGAGTTTTTGTTTCATAATTTTATTAAAATTATTTAACTAACAAAAAAAGTATATTATACTTATTTGAAAAATCTAATATATACGTAATTCTATATGTTTTTATGTATGTTTTTAATTAAGTTATGGTATTATTTTAAATGTATTAATATTTTATCATTAAAAATTAACTCTTACGTTTTGTTTATATTAATATTTTTGTCTTATTTAACATATATTACATTTTTTATGTTGATGTAAATTGCATTATTTATTTTTATGTTATTTTTTTAAACTATATATATTTTCACTAAAAAAAAGATTAGGAGGGATTTTCACTTGTTTAGGAAGGTATTCCTAAACACCTTCCTAAACAAGTAAGAAACTTTCTTAAAAATAATTTTATAAAAGATTTCTATTTGTTTAGGAAGGTTTTCCTAAACACCTATTTAAACAAGTAGGAAACCTTCTTGAAAAAACTATAGGAAGAATTTTCACTTGTTGATGAAAGTCTTACTAAACAAGTAGAAAATATTTTTAAAAATAAGTTTAGGAAAGATTTTTACTTATTTAGGAAGGTCTTCATAAACACCTTCCTAAACAAGTAAGAAACCTTCTTAAAAATATTTTAGGAAAAATTTACACTTGTTTAGGAAAACCTTCATAAACGCATTTCTAAACAAGTATGAAACTTTCATATAAATAAGTTTAGGAATGATTTTCACTTGTTTAGGATGATCTTCCTAAACACATTCCTAAACAAGTAAGAAATTTTCTTAAAAAAAGTTTAGGAAAGATTTTCACTTGTTTAGGAAGGCCTTCATAAACACCTTCCTAAACAAGTAGGAAACCTTCCTAAAAATAAGTATATGAAGGATTTTCACTTTTTTAAGAAGGCCTTCCTAAACATATTTTTAAACAAGTAGGAAACCTTCCTAAAACAAATTAGTTCATGAAGGATTTTCACTTGTTTAGGATGGTCTTACTAAACAAGTAGGAAACCTTCGTAAGAATAACTTTAGGAAATATTTTCACTTGTTTAGGAAGACATTTCTAACCACCTTCCTAAACAAGTAGGAAACCTTGATAAAAATAAGTTTCATCTTATTATGTCATCTTTAGTGAAATGGTTCAATATCTTTTTAGTAAAATAATATATATTCTTTCTCTTTAAATCAACAACCTCTTAACAATCGTTTGACACCAATATTATTATTTTTTTATGTCTTTTATATTTTTATTCATTTGTTCTTATATGTATATTAATTTTACATATTTTTCAATTTTTAAAATTTAATATATAAAATTTTTTCGTTATCCTAAGCTCCTAATCAAATATATTTATTGATGTAATTTTAAATATTCAAATAGTTTTATATGTACTACTTTTAGTTATTTGTTGACTTATTTTTGTTTTTATTTAATTAGAAATTTTAGAACCTATAAGTGACAA